TACAGCTGGGCTTGGTGGCTCAGCCTGTAATCCCAGCACTTTGGGAGGCCGAGGTGAGTGGATTGCCTGAGCCTGCGGGTTCGAGACCAGCCCGGGCAACTTGGTGAGACCCTGTCCCTACAATAAATAAAAAAGAAAAAAATTAGCTGGGTGTGGTAGTGTGCACTTGTGTTTCTGGCCCCTTGGAAGACTGAGGCGGAAGGATCACCAGAACCCAGCAGGTGATATAGAGCTGCAAATGTTAACCTAATCCAAAACACACAAACACACACACACACACACACACACACACACACACACACACACACACACACAAAGAAAGATACAAATCGAGGAAGGATGTACATCCAATATATTCACAAATCACAGTTAGAGACTTATGATCTACTATGTTTTAAAAGTGCTCAGAGTAACTAGGATTGTTAATTATCTAACTTGAAAAAAATATTAGGGAGAAGCAGTATTCCAAGATATTTGAAGACCTTCCCTGAGAAAAGGGAATTACACTTAAACTGCATAGTTTCAGAAGAAACTATGAACTTGGAACTTGGGTCACTGATTGAAAATTAGAGTGAATCAAGTTTTCCTTCAGCGTGGGGAAAAACTTCGTAACTCATTGTTACGCAAGATGAATAATGCTTTCTTATTTTAAAAAATCATTCATTTAACAACAACACAAAGAAAAGATACAAGGCATCCTGTATGGTAAGAAAGTTAGGTTAAGTAACTTCTCACCTTAGTTGTAAGATACTATAATATAAATGTTAAATTTATTTTATTTAGTAGAGGGAATATATACCACTGTTTTCCAATGTGCAAAACAACAACAATAAATCTCATATATTCTAATCAATTATTGAAAAGACACTAGCACATATCACTCTCGAAAATAGAATCAAACATCTCATTAGGCATCTAAAATACAGGGAGTTTTCCTAAAGGCTAATTTCTATATAAGATAAAACACTATGAACTTTATTTCAAAGCAGATAGGAAAGTCATATGAAAGGTCGTCGATGTCAAAAAGTTTCAAAAATAAGCTTATGATTTATGTATTATGTGTGTGTGGGGGCCTAACTAGGACATTTGACTCAATTAGCCAGTTTAGTGTGTCAGCAACCCTGTGAAAGATTTACTGTCCAGAGAAGATTAAAATATTTGCTTTCTCTCTGAAGAAATTATACAAAGTTGCAGAGGAAAAAAATGTATTTTTGAATCTCTATGTTTTTGTTAATGATCATAATCTTTAAGTATTTTGATTCAGTTATTAATGTTACATTTAGGTTACATGAAATAATTTGTTACGCTTTATTACAAAAGCAAAATGCTGAAAATTATTGTGGAAGTCTATGTATTTTTGGCAAATGTTCATTTCAATAATTATAAAATATGTTCTTAAAACACTCCCCAGTTAACACTTTTTCATCAGCATGACACCTTGCCAAATAATTTGAGACTGATATTCATAGATAATTCTTTTATCTTAGAGTCATTATCTTTCAAAATGCTTCTGTTAAATATGGAATGACTATTTTCTTGCTTTAAAAAAAAACCTGATGGCTCCTTTTGATGGTTGAATGAGAGAGGTTTATGATACTTAAATGAATATCAAAATATGACAGATCATTTTGTCCTGCTAACCACTTTTCTATAATTAGACTGGAAACTTCTTTTAAAAACCTGACCATTTTTACCTATGTCGTCTGGTACATGCATTCATTCATTGAATCATTTAGAATAGTCCTTGAATGCCTACTATGTTGAACTAGAAAGAGCAGTTAAGCTAGACTTAGGGTATCAGGGACTATTTACCAGAGAAGGCAACATTTAAAACAAGAGCTGAAATGAACAAGTGCTAGCCAGATAGAAGGATGAAAAACATTCTAGAACAAAAAATTTGCACGTGAAAGTCCCAGTGGTGAGAAAGAGCATTCAAAGAATTTGAGAATTTAAGACAGGCCCATATGGCTGCAACATTATGTGCAAAAGAAGCAGTATTTAGGTACAGCTGGAAGGGTAAGCAGTGACCAGATTATGAAGGTCTTCCTTGTCCCGCTAGTGATTTCTCCTAATAGCAATAGGGAGCTAGTGTCAGCTTTCAAGCAGAAGAAGGCCATAGTTTGATATGTTCTATGGAAGGTCACTCTGATTGCAGTGTGCAGAAATTACTGACTGGGAAGATCTGGAAGTAGAATCTTTAGCTCAGAGGCTATTCTAATACTCTAAATAAAAGGTGACAACGGCCAGATAAAAATAGTATCAAGGAGGAAGTTTAAGAAGCAGAGAATGACAGAATCCTGGAACTATTGATCAAATAGATATCTGGGATAAGAGATGCCTCTAGATTGCAGACCTGGGCGATTGAGTGGATAACTGTGACCCCCAAATGAAATGAGAAATATAGGAGTATTCACAGATTTAAAGAGAGATGAGTCTAATTTTTGACATTTCAAAATTAAAGTACTTCTGTGTTAAGCAATAAGATCTATCCAAGAAGTAATTAGAAATGGAAGTCTGGAACTTATTAGAGATATCCAGACTGAACATATAAAATACAGAGGTTTTTGGCACACAGATAACTGAAGTCATAGTAATAGATGAAATCACCAAAATAAAATGTGTAGGGGAAAAAATAGACATGAAATCCAAAGTTAAAATTAAAGACATCAATCTTACTGATCAGAAAAAGAAGAGTCTATGAAGGAGAATAAGAAAGAGGAATAATCAAGGGAGGAGAAAAATCAACAGGCTTACTACTGAAGAAACCACGGGAGAAGAGCACTTCAAAAACAGAGTGTCCGGAAATATCATCTGTTGCAGAAAATTCACATATCACGAAAACAAATTATTGTTAGTAAATTTTGATTTAGCAATAAAGATCTTGTGGGTAAGCCTGGAATTATGTTTCAATGGTGAAACCACAAGCCCATTTAAGGTGTGAGTGGGAGATGAAGCAGAGGCTGGAATGTAAACAATGCTTTTTGAAAGTTCATCAAAAAATAGGATAGAAGTTTTCAAGTGACTCACGACCCCGTGGATATTTTTTAAGATAAGAAAGGCCCCTCTTTGCTCATGGTTGGCCTGTTAAAAAAATTAAAATGTACAAGCATTTTTAAAAGAATAAGAAGGGTTTGACCAACTTCAGATGAGAATGAGAATAAGCCAGCAAAGGAGGCAATGAAGATACTGGAGGGAATGGGGAAGCAGAAGACAAGGAGAATCATCTGGGAGGAGAGTAGCTTTAGACAAAGGATGAAACATGGCTTCCCACGGACAGACATAAATGTCAAAGGGATGGAAACTAATGCAGGCAAGAGAGTGAATCGTTTGCCAGGAAACCAGGGGAGCACCAAATGAGGGCTTTCTTTTCTCTGAAAACTGGGTGTCATCATTAACTGAGAGTAAAGTAGAAAATTTGAAGATTTATACTCTATCATATTGGAAAAACCCATTTTACAGTAAATACATCTGTCACAACATGTTTTAAAATATAGAACCAGAAATGTGAAAATCCAATGGTCTAAAATTCATCATGACGATGCCATGACTTCACTGCAGGGAATAGTATAAACTCTCAAAAATACTTAATAGAAGTTCTAAAACAAAAAAATTTTTTTAAGTTTTATGGCAATATCGTGGTAGAAGTGACTTCAGCTACAGTTTGTCGTGAATTACTACACAAGCCGTACCAAACTTTGTGTCACCGTTGGCAGACACGAGGAATGTCAATATGTTCCTCTTGATTGACTGAATGAAGCAGTGCCCAGCGTATGGGGTGACATCCAAGTTCAATGCAGAGCCTGCGGGCAGCTCTGTGACTCCAGCTGAGTAGATCAGGAAATCAGTTCGCTAACATGTTCATCTATTTTGTTACTGACTTTTTTGCTTCTCACCTTTTTTTTTTTACTGTTGTTTATAAGAAGTAAGTCACTGTTCTGACCACTCCAGATCTTGTCTTATAACATCAAACTAAATCCAACTCCAAATTCTCTCTATTTCTTCCTTTTTCTTGACTCCCAAAGTCGTGTCACATTTCCACTAAAAAAACATTCCATGTTGCATTCTTGTTGCCGTGTTCATTAATTTTCAGGTTTTTAAAAAAATTTTTTCGAAGTTGAAATAAATTTCCAGAAGATGGGCTATTATTTTACCTACTTTTCCCTGACTGAATTCTCTCAGTGCCTATTTCATTGCCCTGCATGTGGCTCTTCCCAAGTCCTTATTGCATTATTGATTGTTCTTTGCTAAATATAGTTCTATTTCATCAGAACTTAAATTTGAAAACTATTTATGCACTATTCTGAAACTCTTCTAATTTTCTTATGGAAATGGCTTAAAGCGTATCACCCCAATGTCTCTTATTATGCGAGCATGAAAAAGAAAATATTGACCTGAGATTGTTAACTTCAGATTGGATCTTCTCTATTGATGAAGAACCACCAACATTGACAAGAAATAGGTGAACAACCTTTTTAATGTGATGGTGAGGCTGATCTTTTTTGCCCTTGTTGCTTCTTGAAACATTTACCCTTTCCACCTTGATTTGGTTTCAGAAAGCCCACTGGTAGACATGCACTGAGGTCCCAGTACTTTTAGTACTTTTTCTAGAGCTAAAATCTGGGATGTGAAGAACATTGATGGTCAGAAGAAGTAATAAATTTTAGAGATTCTTGAGGTCTTTTCCCCAATTTAGAGTAAAAGAAAACTTACACACAGATTGATGTAGAAACAAAAAAATAAAAACTCTTATTTTCGGTATACCTACAATAGCATAGTATTATCTCTCAAATGAAAGACCTTCTTTATCTATATAAAAAGCTAAGTTATTTGTCAATGATAAAGTGTGTGTTTGTGTGTGTGTGCATGTGTGTGTGTGTGTGTGTGAGAAATAGAGTATATGTGTTCATAGACACACAAGCTTATAGGTGAGGAGATGTATGATAAATTACATTCTAACTCTCACTAAATTAAAAACACACTTTTTTCCCCCTCTGCTACAGAATTGTCAACATCACACTGCTGGTGACTTCTGTGAACGATGTGCTCTTGGATACTATGGAATTGTCAAAGGATTGCCAAATGACTGTCAGCGATGTGCCTGCCCTCTGATTTCTTCCAGCAACAAGTAAGATTGAGAAATATAACCATATTTTCCAATCAGTAACGCCATCTGTCTAGCACATGGGCTGTCTATGATTTGTCTATTTTTTCCATGTAGACAAAAATCTCAATTTAAGATTGAGATATTTTTAAATAATATAAAAGCATGACAAAAGTGAGTACCTAGTACTCTATGATTTATTTTTCTTTTGAAACACTGTCCAGAGTAAATAATCTTTATGAATCAAAATGTAAATACCAATATTAACATAGCATTTGTTTATAAAATAAATGAATATGTACAAATGTGCATGGTTTCATAAATATACAGGTCTCGTGTTTGTATATAATTCTGCTCATAATAGCTATGAAGGATTGTTTGGGTGCATATTATATCACTTTGGCTGTTTTCATTTATTTTATATGTTTAATTCAAGGGTGAGAAATAATGATCAAGAAAACAATTGGAAAAATAGTACAATTAAAGCAGAGTGACTTATTGTTAGGCTCCAATGAAAGTCAACTCCTAAAATCACAGCCTCCTTTCTTGTAAGATGGTCGGAGCTTGGTACCATGGAAACACAGCCATAAGGAGAAACAAAAGCCGGAATATCTTATTTCAGTGTTGTCTGAACATTCTATACTGGTTTATATATTGATGGAAACCCTGAGTGTTTTCATTTATCTTTTTGCTAAGACTACCTGCACTAAGTGATTTATAGACTTCAATAAGGTAATGCAGTTTTACTCTAAGACTTTGCTTTTGAACAGACTGTATGACATTTGGTTCAGAATTAGAATTCTGGACACCTTATCCTGAGTATTAAAGAACCACGAAGCAATTCAAAGTGATCTTTGTACCTTCTTGTTCTCTTTGTTGCTTACTTTTTCTTTGCACCTTCTTCATCTTCTGCTTTGTCTACATTCTGAAAGCACTTTCACATAAATCATCTCCTTTTCTTCTGCAAGCTCTTCTTTTTTTGTTGTTAGATGAAAGCACAAGCCTTTTATAGGCTGTCAAATGTAAATTTTTAGGTAAGTTGGATATTGATGAGGATAATATGCATGATCTTATTGTTCATCTTGGCACCAACTTATAGGTACAGGAAAAATAATTTTATTTTCATTCCCCCACCCCTAATCTTTCCCCGATGCCCAGATTTAAGCAAAGGAATGTTATTTAAATTTTTTTTTTAATGTGAACCATTTGGATTAGAAAAACTCAACAATTAATTGGTAATGTCCTGGTAAACACACTATAATAGAAACTACAGGAGATATACAAGAGAAGCTTGTTATTTCTCGGAGAAGCTCACTATAAAACTTGTGTCTTAAGGTATGTCAGCTTAAACATAAAGAGAATTCAAAGTCACAGAACACCACACTTAATTTTGGAAGGTTCAAGAATGTATTTTAAAATGTAGTATGTATAATACATCCTAAACAGTGACTGAAGGATTTTTACTTTTAGAGATAGAGGAAATTATATGGGCAAAAGCTTAGAAAATACATGACATGTTTAAAAACTAATAAGTAACAGAGTTTGGAACATGGAGTTCAGCTAGAACTTCACAATTGCAGATGGAAATGAATGAGAGAAAGGAAGTCATATTGTAGAAATCTTTAACTACAGTCTAAGAAATTGCTGTTTAATTTTCTATGTAATAAGCAAACATTACAAGCCTTTATTTTTTTTAAAAAAGGTAATATGATCACAGTCACACTTTAGGAAGACTATTATGAAAGGATTGAGTATAATGAATTGAAATAGGCAAAGGAGAAAAACAAAGATACCAATTAAAAAGCTAGTACACCAGCCTGAGCAAGGGATCATTAGAACCTGAAGGTAAGTAGAGTGACAAGAATGGTGACAAAGGGAAGAATATGAGAAAATTGTTGAATACAGCTCTACAGAATTGAAAACTAATTAGATGGGAGGGGTGAGGATCCAAGCAAGAGTTGAAGATTGAGGTTTTTAGCCAGGTTATCCCTAAAAGGACTTAGGAATGTTGGCTTGGCAGAATCCGATTAGAGGCCTTCAAATTTGACCTCCAATGTGGTGCCATTTGCTGAAATAGGAAAACCTGGAGAGAGCGGCTGCAGAAGAAAGACAATTGAGGTTCAAATAGGTTTGACTTGATAACGAAGTCTCTGTCTGAATGGAAATATACAAACAGCTGCAGGAAATGGAAATCTGAACATTTCAGGAGCAGGAAATGAATAAATAGGTTAATAAACAAATTTAAATCAAATAAGGTTTCCCAGACTAATGTTACCAAGTCATGTGGATAGAAAGAAGGGAGGACACAGATGTGAGGGAGATATGGCTGCGACACCTATCACTCTGTTGATCGCCAGGGTTGAGTCAGCTGATCTGGCTGGCTAGGTGGGTTCCCTTCCCCCTTCACCACTCCACATGCACCCATACTGAAGGTGCATGCTTGGTCAAAGAGAACTATCATCCCCACTAGAGGAGGGACCGTTCTTCGGTCAAGGCAATACAAGAAGCTGCGCTCCCCTGCTAGAAACTCCAAACTAGCTCTCAGGAAGGAAGGACAGGACTTCCTATGTTGGAAAAGACAGAAGAAAAAAGAATCATCAAGGCAGGGGCAGTCAGGATGAAGAGGAAACTCAGGTGGCAGCTGTCACTGATACCAAGGGACTGAAGCAATGAACGGCATCAAATGCTGCTCTTGCAAGGGGAACTGAGTAAATAGGGTGGCAGTTAACTACTGTTATTGAGCAAACGGGCTCACTTCATGATGTACGCAGAAGCCCATGACTATGGCACCAGCTTGTGAGAAAAGATGGGCTTTATTGCAAACCCATCAGCAAGGAGACGGGAGTCAGACTCAAATGTCTCCCTGATTTGGGGTTTGGGCATGTTTTCAGGAATCAGAGAACAAGGAAAAGGATTTAAGAGTGTTGGCTTGGCAGAATCTGATTCGAGGCCTTCAAATTTGACCATTTGTGGTGGGTATGTTAAGGTAGATTTTAGCCCTGGATCTTCTAGACCAGGGGACCCTTGCTTTTAAAGAGACCGTGCCTTTAGGTTCCAGTCTTCTTGGTTCCGTGGAGAGGAATTGTTGGGTCTGTTAGATGTCAAAGCTTTTTACATGGAGCATGTCCAGGCTTTATGACTTGCAGTTTCGTCTGTGTTATATCTAAAAGGAAACTCGATATTTTGTTATCAACAGAGTAGCCCCAATTTGGGCTGGTCCCATAGATACACTACGAAGGTCATTGATGAATATTGACCCTTCATAGTGAAAGCAGGGTTTGAGTTTACAGTTATAAGAAATGTTAAGGATTAAAAAAATGAAAAAGAATGATACTAACCTGGCAGGGGAGATGCCATGATCACGAAGGTGGTTTTTCCAGAGCAAGACTTATCCATTGCACTCCGGTTATGCTGACCCCTATGATTTCCCCAAATGTGAGAAATTCAACTGCATAATTTGTGGTAGTGGGGGACTGTAGTGGTGCTCTCTTCCCTGGTTTTTGTTGTTTAAAGATTAGGTTTTGTGCTCTTCAATGAGTAGCACTGTGTCTAGTTATTTTTTGCCTTAGTAGCTTTCTAGCTTCATTTGAGAGTTCCTGTCTTACTAAACTTGCAAATAAAGTCTTTAAAAAAAGATTGAAAAGAAAGAATACTACCTTGATTGGTTAGCAGGATTAATAAAAGAATGTGTTTTTGTTTCATTGTCATTTTATATGATTTGTATAACTTGAGTATATTTATGCAAAGGACCCTGGGAGAATCAAAATATCAAATTAAAATGGCTAGTTCAGTGGCTTTCAAACTTTATTGATTGCAACCACTGTAACACTTTTTACACAAAAACATATATATGTAGATATCTAAAGATGTATATTATGCACTGTACCATTTATTCAATTGTATTATTTCACATTTAAAAAAATATTTTAGTCAAAACCAACTAAATTTTATAACTCACTAATATCATCACCTAAAGTTCATAGCATGTTAGACTAATTAACACAGTAAAGACCTATATACGATGAGAAGAGAAGAATTAAAACATGAAGCAAAGAAACTAGCCAGGGCAAAGAAGAGAAACCAAAAATCGATTCTGAGGTATAGATGGAGGTGGCTGAAATAACTCACTTTTGTACCTTCAATCTGTACAGTCGGTGAAAAGTAAGGGGTGAGGCATGGTAAGTGATTAACAACTCACTTCCACCGCATTAGGTCAAGTCTTCGTTATCTCTTAATAAAACAAATATGATAGACTTTTAACAGTTATGACAAAGTAGCAGTGCTCACATACCCCCAGGAGTTTTCTACCACCTACCCAAAGAAAGGTGAGATTCTTTACCTGAATTGCCTGAATCACCTCTCCAGACTCAGTGCCCTAGACTCCCTTCTACATGATGTCAAGTCTGGAATTTCTTGCTCTTCTCTAAGCATGCTCACCAACCTTTACTCTTGCTGTTCCCTGAGACTATCCCCATGAAATCCAATTCATTTTTAAAGGCCTCATTCAAACCCCACTTCTGCCACAAAATGTATTCATAGCATAGCATGTGTTTTGTACATTTTGTATACAACTAACACATTTTACCTCACATCAGTATTTTAATCAAACGTTCTTTCAGAAAGTGAACAGGCACTAAGCATATACTTTACCTCAACCCCGTGAATAAAAGATAAAATATATGTGTCCTGTCTTGTATTTGTACATATCTGTCTCTCATACAGAATTGCAATTCCCTGAAGGTAATGATAGTATTTTATTTATTTCTTTTCTCACAAATATTTAATAAGGGCCCAACTCAATGCCAGGCATGATTCTTTATATATGTGAACAAAATAGTCCAAGTTTCCTGGCCTTCTGGAGCTTACATATTTTTCATAACAGAGTAAGAAACAGATACATAATGTAATATCAGATAGGAACAAGTTCTACCCAGAAAAATAAAACAGCCTCAATGAATTTAGAGTGACAAGGGTGCCGTTTTAGATAGGGTAGTCAGTGATCTTCACAAACAGATGAGACTTGTGCAGAGACATGAACAGGTGAGCCATGTGAGTGACTACAGGAATAGCAGTCCAGCCAGAGGGAAAAGTAGGTGCACTGGCCAAGAGACAGGCCTATACTTGGCCCGTGCTTGGCGGACAGCAAGAGCCCAGGGTAGCAGCAGTGTGGATGAGGGAGTGAAGCCAGCAAAGTTCCAAAGGGTAACTAAGTGTCCTGAAGATCAAAAGTTTCCCAATGGCAAGAGATGACGTGATACAGGATAATCCAGTGACGTTATTGATGGAAGCTCCAGCAGCATTTGTGGGTAGAGAGGGTGAGTGCGAAGAAGACAAGGTCAACTCCGGTTGTTAGCACATAGAAACATGGAGTGGTCATTGACTGCAAAGGGGAAAATTATAGAGTGGTCTGGTGTATTTTTGGAGGGGGATAAACTTAGTTTTAGATCTGCTAGGATAGACATAATATGTAAAGCCCTTAAGACTAAACTAGATCATTAAGACCAGGGAGGAGAGGGGAGGCCAAATCTGAAAGCTGAATTGTGAAGCGTGTTAAGAGATCAAGAACATACGGTCAATCTAGCAAAAGAGTCTAAAAAGAACACCAGTGAGCTGAGATAAAACCAGAAAGAGGTATTTTCCAGGATGCCCATTTATCTCTGTAGTGTCCACAGGGAACGACACAGAGAGCAGACGCTGTAAATTTTTAAAATTCTGTTGAGGGGAGTTTAGAATGAGCAGAGCCATAGGGAAATGTAATAGATGGCCACAAAGAGAAAAGCACAAGAATTTCAAAGTGAGAATTGAGAGCAAATGAGGGAGTTGTGAGCAGAAAGAATAAGCTCTAACTTCAAAGGAGATGGAATTCCTACTTCCTCCTTCAGAAGCCCTCTTCGTGACACAAGGAAAAATTACAATCCACCAGAATATCACACAGAAAAAAGTTGATAGCAACCATTCAAGGAAATTACTGCATTCCCAAACAGTATTCTGAGATGCTTTATTTAGTTATTTATTGATGCTTTATTATTTTACTGTAATGTAATTTAATCCTATCAGCTTTCTAGAAGCGCTTGAAATATCTAAAAGCTGTTTCCTAGATCTGTATATGTATACGAGTTCGTGTGTGTGTGTGAGTGTGTGTGTGTGTGTGTGTGTGTGTGTGTGTGTGTGTGTGTGTGTGTCAGTGCGCGCGCGCGCACGTGCACAGATGCACTCAGCATCAAGCTTTAAATTAGAGAGCCAAAAACTTGGCAGAGTGTGTCAATTATGAGCTTATGGGTCTATTTTTTTGTGTGTGAAGGCAAAAATAAATTTGTCGGATAATGAGTTTGTGAGTAGCAGATCAATTTGTTCACATATTTTGCAAAAGTTAGAGTTTATTACTCATTCATGTACTATTGATTTAATGCATTGGTAGACAGTTAGAATTGGGTCCAAATGGCACCTGACCAAATTGAGCTACGGGCCTAGGCCTTTACACCTTATTGCTTTTTCAGCATCAACTGATTTAGCAGACAAGCAAAAAGAAAAATGGTGTTTGCGGTATTACCATTCTGCAACAAATGTATGTTTTCTATTCCTAAATTTCGAATGCATCATGCAGTTTTATCTAGTGGGAACGCAGCACTGCTTACGTTTGAGAGAAGTTTATAACATGCTAATGTTATAAATTTCATGCTACATGCTACTACAGTTGAGTTTCCAAGTCTTTGTTTTATGGAGAAAAATAATCAGAAATCCTGGAGCGAGACAGACTGGCTGTGGTCTACCAGTATTGTAGTGAAAACATAGGGCAAGTTATATAAGACCTAATTATTAGAAAAGACCATAATGTGGTCAGCAAATCTTATTCATTTTCATTGAGAAAGCTTTCCCTTCTCCTCTTTTCACACTAAATGACATTACTCTGTGTTTAAAGGAAAATGTAGTCTGAAATCTGGAGGTAAATTAGAAAAGGTACTCTTTTATTCTAACTGAAACATTTATTCACACATCATGTGTTAAAATGCTAGTGGCTATTTTGGCTGAGTTTTCAGAAAAAAAAGTTATATAGCTTTTGTGCCTTTTTTCCTTAACCTGGAAGATATTCAATAATTCCTATTCTACTATCAGACAAATGTGTATAAGTTCTAGTCTTTTGATTAGTGAACAATAGGACACTTTTGCTAGATGTTTAATGTTTTCATGGCTGTCATATTATAATTGAAATTCCAAAATATGAGCATGCTACATGTGATGTATTGCTAATGCACCAAAAATCAACCAATATTTATATGTTGACTACTATTAGTAGAGTTTGATTGTGATATCCTACTCTTAAGTAAGAACTTTATCAAGAATTATAAATACGGTTTTTATCATCACCTAAAAGCATGTCCCAATTACATTGATAATGGATAGAAGTACTTAATTTTATAAAATAAATGGTTTAATTTTGTTTTACAGCCCTTTTTTTCTGATTCAGTTTCAGCCCTACTTGTGTTTCTGAAGGCCTCGATGATTACCGCTGCACTGCTTGTCCACGAGGATATGATGGCCAGTACTGTGAAAGGTGCCAACTATCAGACACAGGGAATAATGAGACATAGAGATGACATGATAACAGATCACAGTAGGAAAATGTTCACTATGTGAATAATTTCATTATTTTCATATTCTCTGGTAGTAGAAATCATACACTTTCAAAACTATTTTTGTATCTTAGAATTTGTCCAAAGAAAGTTGTTCACATCCATCTTTTATAGATTTTCTCAAAGTTTCTAAATTATTTCACAATCATCTATTTTGTGCTTTAGGATATATATACTATTATGTGTAAATATATATAATAAGAACAAATAAGTTAAATCAATTTTCAAAAGCTTATCAGTAGTTACCAATAATAAAAAGCTGGCTACTGGGCTTGGTGGCTCAGCCTGTCATCCCAGCACTTTGGGAGGCTGAGGTGAGTGGATTGGCTGAGCCCGTGGGTTCGAGACCCGCCTGGGCAAGTTGGCGAGACCTCATCTCTAC